GATTTGAAAGCTAAATAATTGGCCTACTTTTCTGAAGTCACAGATTGTAAGTAAACTAACCTCAAAGTGCAGGCTGGACTGCTTGCTACTCCATGCTGCCTGCAACTAAACAAAACGCTATGGAAAATATTGATACATGACTGCTCGATAATGTAGAACTTCTTCCCAAGGAAACAGGGACAAAATCAATAAAACACATTAGGAAAAATATTGGTCCCAAACCTGACAGAGTTACTATCTTAAGTTCATTGATTTTTTATTTTTATTTTTTTGAGATGGAGTTTCACTGTTGTTGCCCAAACTGGAATGCAATGGCGCAATCTCAGCTCACCGCAACCTCCGTCTCCCGGGTTCAAGCGATTCTCCTGCCTCAGCCTCCCGGGTAGCTGGGATTACAGGCACCTGCCACCATGCCCAGCTAATTATGTATTTTTAGTAGAGATGGGGTTCTCCATGTTGGTCAGAGGTCTTGAACTCCCAACCTCAGGTGATCCACCCATCTCAGCCTCCCAAAGTGCTGTCATTACAGGCGTGGGCCACCGCGCCTGGCCTCTTAAGTTCATTTAAATTGATAAGAAAAAAAAAAAAAATAGAAAAATGGGTGAAGGGTTTTATTTTTTTTAATTACAGAAGAAATGGAAAGGGTATCAAATGAAGAAACATTGACATTCCTAAGTAAAAACTTTACTCTTAATCCAAAAAATGCAAACTAAACATTTTAATTTTATTTATTTTTAAGAAATGGGGTCTCACTATGTTGCCCAGGCTGGTGTCGAACTCCTGAGTTCAAGTGATCTGCCAGCCTTGGTCTCCCAGAGTACTGGGATTACAGGTGTGAGCCACCGTACCTGGCCTGCACATTTTTAAAATCATATCAGTGCCAGTGAGGATTCATTTATTTATTCAGCAAACACATCCTGATTGCCTACTATGTGCATTGTTCTATACTTGTGAGCAAGACAGATAGGAACTTCTATCCTACAGGAGGGTCGAATAATAAGTTAATTGTTAAAGACAAAATGAGATATCAGACAGCCAGAGTGCCATGATGAAAGTTAAGGCAAGGTGATGTGTTAGAGGGACTTGAGGATAGTGTGAGCTTATTTAGACTGGGGATCAGAAAAGAGCTCTCTAAGATGGTATTTGACCTGAGATTTGAAAAATAAGAAGCAGCCAGTTATGCAAATATCTGCGGCACAGGAATGATAGCAGGGGCAAAAAGACAAGAACAAACTGCAAGTGCGGAAACAAGGTCTTTGTTGCTGAAGTGTACTGGGGAGGTACTAGAAGTGTTTTTGTTTTTACTAAAGGTTTCTGGCTCTATTTTTGATTCTGCCTTCATATGTAAATGAACGTCCTCAGGCACCACTAATTGGATTGCAAATTTCAAATTTCCCAGAATATATAGTATCCATACCCAACCTTCAAAACTTTTCTTTCCACTAAAATAGGGAAAGAGTGGAGGTAAGGGGATAGTTTTGTACTTTTAGTATCCAAACAGCAATCTATCATTTAAATACATAGTGCCATAGCTATTGAATGCATTTATTCATTCTCCTTAACTAGAGTCTAAATCCCATTCTACTTTTGTTCTTATTCATTCACCCATTAATTTAACATGTGTTGAATTAGATATCAAGCCTAACAAGGTTCTAGAAATAAAACAACACCTGGTGGAGAGTTAAATGAATGTTAAAATGAATGAGATATTCACAAAATATTCTTTCTCCTATGTATTTTGATCGTCATATTTCTATCTTCACTCTTTCAGTCACATTTTTAATTACCTCATCCTGTCTTATAGCTTTTTTTTTTGTGAGACAGGTTCTTGCTGTCACCCAGGCTGGGACGCAGTGGTGCGAACATGATTCACCACAGCTTCAACCTCTCAGGCTAAAGTGATCCTCCCACCTCAGCCTCCTGAAGTAACTGGGACCTATAGGCACGAGCCACGGCGTCTGGCTAATTTTTGTACTTTTTGTAGATATGGGGTTTCACCATGTTGCCCAGGCTGGTGTCAAATTCCTGAGCTGAAGAAATCCACTGGCCTCAGTCTCTCAAAGTGCTGGAATTACAGGCATGAGGCACCACGCCCAGCGTTAGTCTCAGAGCTTTGAATTCCATCTGTATTTTCTCTCTTTGTTTTTTTTTTTTTTTTTTTTTTTTTGAGACGGAGTCTAGCTCTGTCGCCAGGCTGGAGTGCAGTGGCGTGATCTCGGCTCACTGCAACCTCCGCCTGCTGGGTTCAAGTGATTCTCCTGCCTCAGCCTCCCGAGTAGCTGGGATTACAGGTGCGTGCTACCACACCCAGCTACTTTTTTGTATTTTCAGTAGAGACAGGTTTTCACAGTGTTAGCCAGGATGGTCTCGATCTCCTGACTTCGTGATCCACCTGTCTCGGCCTCCCAAAGTGCTGAAATTACAGGATGAGCCACTGCGCCTGACCTTTTTTTGTATTTTGAGTAGAGACGGGGTTTCACTATGTTGGCCAGGATGGTCTGGATCTCCTCACCTCGTGATCTGCCCGCCTCGGCCTCCCAAAGTGTTGGGATTACAGACATGAATGAGCCACCGGGCCTGGCCACTTTTCTTTTTTTCTTTCTTTTTTTTTTTAAAGACGGTGTCTCACTCTGTTGCCTGGACTGGAGTACAGTGGCGTGATCACCGCTCCCTGCAACCTCAGACACCTGGGCTCAAATGATCCTCCCAGCTCATCCTCCTGGGTAGCTGGGACTACAGCATGCACCACCACATGCAGCAAATTAAAAAACAAGAAACAAACAAACAAACAGAAACATTTTTTTGTAGAGACAGAGTCTCACTATGTTGCCCAGGCTGGTCTTGAACATCCTGGGCTCAAGCTATTCCCCGGCTTTGGCCTCCTGAAGTGTTGGGATTACAGGTGTGAGCCACTGTGCCCAGCCTATGTTGTTAAGGTTATCAAACTTCCACACCTTTCCTCTGAAATTCCACGCTCAAACTCTCTATGCTTTACTCGGTTGTTGTATTAGTTATCAGTTGCTCTGTAACAGATAACACCAAATTTAGTGGCTTAAAACAGGAACAATCATTTATTATCTGTCATAGCTTCTATGGTTTAGGAATTTAGAAGTGGCTTGGCTGGGTGGTTCTGGCTCATCGTCTCTCTTGATGTTGCAGTCAGATTTTGGCCAAGGCTGCAATCATCTGATAGCTTGACAGGGGCTGAAGGAATTCTTCAGCCCAAAAGTTCAATTGTGCCAAGGTTGAGAAAACCTGCTTTAAACCAATGGGACTATACATTTAAAAAATACTAATGTCGTGAAAGACCAAGGCTGACGATTTAAAGATTTAAAGAAAGTAGAAACATAACAAATGCAAGATGTTATCAAGATTTGATCTTTAGAAAAAAAAAATCATTAGCATAAAGGACAGCATTGGGAAGTAAACAAAATTTGTGTATTAAATAATAGTATTCTGTCAGTTTCAGTTTCCTGAATTTGATAGTTATACTGAGACTAAATAAGGGAATGTCTTGTTTCTAAGACTGAAGAGTCATGATATCTGTAATCTACTCTCAAAAGGCCTAACAACAGAAAATACTAGGAATATAATATGCGTATTATAGGTAATATATGTAAAGAAAGGTAAAGCAAATGTGAGAGAAAGTTAACAATGGCTGACTCTAGCTGAAGAATATATGGGAGTTCCTGCAACTTTTCTTAGGATCTAATTTTCTTTTTTCAAAGCTGAAAACTTAATTACAAATTCACTCTAGCAGACATCAGAAACTTAATTTCAGTGTTATCATGGTATCCAGTGGCATAAACATTGAGCAATATTGAGGGGGTAGCTACCAGTAGAAATGCGTAAAATAAAAGTGATTCTGTCTTTGGGAAAAAAAGGGTAGATTTCAGAAATTGGGAAGGAGATCTATATATTTTTAAAGATAGACTTTAAAGACATAATCCTAAAGAAATACAGCTGATTTAATAGGAACTAGTGGAGGTAGCATTCATATAGTAGAAGGAGCACCCGACTCAAGAGTAGAAAGACATGGATTCCTATCTTATAACATATTCTTGGTTAGGTTAATGCATCTCTTTGAGCTACAGTTTTTTCATTTGTAAACCTGGGATACCAGTTACTTCACAAGGTAGTTTGGTAGATCAATACAATTATGTATTAATTCCCTGTACAGTACTAAAAGTACCATAGAAATGCAACTTAATTTTTTAAAACCATGACTCGCCTCCCTTATTACCCGTAACATTTTTTTGTGAAACCTATAGTACGTACTCCATTTGTAATCTGTGTTTCCACCCACCATCAGGCCTCAAGTAGGATCCAAAACCTCTTCATTTTCCCACAAAAGAATTCCAGTTGAGCATTCAAGTTTGCAGTTTTCAAGCATTCAAGAATTCCAGTTTGCTCGAGTAAGTAAAACATCTTATTGAAGAATTTTAGGGGAGACCAGGTTTTTTAAAAATTTTTATTTATTTTTTGACTACACATGCCCTAGCATTAAAAGGCATCAATATCCTGTCCAGAGGCCTCCTTCCGCTAGTTCTTCCCAAAACGCTTTGCATTTTTTGTTCCTCTTCTCTGGACTCTTTCTTGAATCTACCCCCTTAAGTCGCTCAGTCTCTTCCTTTCCCTTCTTCATGTTGGGCAACTTAATTCTTCCAATTATTTATTTCCAAAAAAAGACTTACTATTGCCAAGATTCAATGTACTTTTGAAGGCAGCAGATAATTAAAATGACAAGTTTTTTTTCTTGCATACTTGTATTCTTGGGTCTATTTCTGAGTTTTCAGTTCTGTTCTGGCGACTTATCTTTGTGCCCAAACCTCCGGAGAGATGGAGCAGAAACAAGTCAGTGAGCCTAAAGAGAGCGCTCTCACGGCCTCAGTCTGCTGGACGCAGGCGCGGAAGATCCACTAAGTCCCACCCACTCGGGGTATTTCCCTCCCCCTAAGCCCGTGGTCCGGAAACCATGGGGGCGGAAGAGGTGCTGGATAGGAGGCGGGTGGACGCGGTTCTCTCCGGAAGGGCTGTGGCTTCTTTAGCCCCGCCCGCCTCGGTAGCTGCCTGAAGTAGTGCAGGGTCTGCCGGCGAGTTGCAGGTCATGGCCCTGGCCGCTCGACTGTGGCGCTTTCTGCCATTGCGACGTGGAGCCGCCCCGGGGCCTCGGCTCCCTGCGGGGACTTCGGGCAGCCGTGGGCATTGCGGCCGCTGTCGATTCCGTGGCTTCGAGGTACCTCCGCGGTCCTGGCTCCAGCTTCCCACCTCCTACCCAGTGGGTTCCTGCTCTCCCTTAACTTCTTCAGGGTTGGCGGCCCCGCGCTGCCTACGGTTCTACGGGAATGTGGTGAACCGAGGAAAGAACTCGGGGCCACTGTGCCTGGAGCGCTTGGCCAGGTCCCTTCCATTTTGCAAACCTTCACTATCCTAAGCTGGGGCTGTCAGAGAAGGAGTGGGGTTTGCCCCCACGCGCCCCGGAAGCTGCCTCCTACCTGCCCATCCTGTGCGAAACATAGAACAGGACGGGAAAGAACTTTGAGCGCTGTGAAATGATTCTCACTGTAGGCGACGACAGATACAGCAACAGCGCTTGAGGCTGCAACTTTCAGACTTTGATAAGTGTGGGGTGTGATTTAAAAAATTCAACAACTCAGAAGCAGAGATTTCATCCTGTTTAGGTTTTTGTTTAAAAATGATTATTTCTGAGTTGCCTGTTTTATCTGCATGACGTCAGTGAAGGATGTCGGCATGTTGTATCAGTTCTGATATTAGACTGCTCGTGGGCCTCTGTTTATTCTTGTCAGGGAATTGGGGAATGGCATTAGTGTATATGACATATTTCACATGAACTAGGTGTTTATTTTAAACTCAAATTTTTAACTGCTCAGTTAAAATCTTTCAGAATTATTATGGGACTGATGGTGGGGAGGGGTGGTTAAAAGTTAGGCATATTCCCTTTCCTTGGAAGTTTATAACCAAATGGGGAGGTGATAGATAATATAGGCGGAGAGATGGGAGGAGTTCTAAGTATGAAACTAGTTAGCCTTAAGTTTTCAAATTAGAACAGTGAGTTTTAAGTCCCATTTTAGACCTGGTCCCTTGGATTAGCCTGCAATCCCAGCACTTTGGGAAGCCGAGGCGGAAGGATTGCTTGAGTCCAGAGGTTTCAAACCAGCCTGGGCGACACAGTGAGACCCTGTCTCTGCAAAAAAATTTAAAAGCCGTGTACATTTTTTATATGTAGTAATTACCATATTACTTGTCTGTAAGATTACTATATTATTCTTGTCTGTGTTCTTAATCTTGTCTGTAAGATTCATTTTTATGATGTGTTGGTGTCTCATATTTTACTTCATGCAATTTGCAATATTCATGTATTTGCAAATAAGTTGTAGCTCTTCCTTTCCAGCAGGAGTGTGATTTTTAGATAAGCTACGACTCCAGGCGATATCTTTTTCTTAATAAGATACGCTTTGAGATCGTTTTACTACAGATTTTGATGAATTAAGCTTCCAATATCATGATCGATTGCTTTGGGGATGGGAGAGGATTAATGTAATTTTTGCTTGGGGTAGCAGTACCTTCAAATTTTCAAAGTTTGTAACTCTGAACATAATTGTTTCCATAGGTAATGGGAAACCCAGGAACTTTCAAAAGAGGCCTTTTACTCTCAGCTTTGTCTTATTGGGGTTTTGAAACTTACCAGGTTATCTCTCAGGCTGCTGTGGTTCATGCCGCAGCCAAAGGTAAGCATAAATTAGATATATGGAACATTTACAGTTTTTTTTTGTGTGTGTACATTCAGAATTTTTATTTTAATACAAATAATCAGGGTAACATTAATAGTAGAAAATCCATATGGAAATATTCACTATCTACTCTGAGAAATGGGAAAACAACTTCCCTGTCTAACTGCCAACCTACTGTTTGAGGAGACAGAAGTTGACGTGAAGTTGGAAGAAGGTCACCTTTTCCAGCTAAACCCCACTCCATAGCTATGTGCATTTTTATTTGAAGTCTCCACGACCAGCGGAAACAGTTGAGAACTGAGAACTAAAATACTGTTTTTGGCAAGGGTTTGGCTAAAGGGTCTGAGATGTGTTAGCACCAAGAAGGGAAAGAGAAATTGAGCAACATATGAAAAAGGGGCTGTAGGAACAAACACTGAAAAAATAAGTCAACAATAACCTATTTCCATCCAGAGCAAAGGGACAGTGCACATATATTCATCCTCTCAAGTGTGGGCTACACTGTACATTGACTCATACTATTTCAAACATGGTCTATTGGAAAGATTCAGGCCCCCTAAGGGCACTTGGCATAGGACCACAGTGACAAGGCAACAGACATAGACAAGCATGGCATGACCCTAAAGGCAACAACACAGCTTTAGATAATAAGTGTACAGAAAAAAATCCCAGAGCTGAGGTTACAAATTCCAAGTTAGCTATAAACATTCTTTGGGGAATTCCTTTAAAGATATGAGTTGAAATAAAACAGAAAATCTCCTAAAGAACAAAATGGAGAAATAATGAATCTCTACCAAGAACCGATTATTTTAGGTTTCTCATTTGGATGGCTCTCCCACCAGATAGGTGGTGAGATTACTTCAAAAGTAATGAGTCTACTACAAGGAGAGGCTGTTTGGTCCAGTGAGGGCGAACACGCTTTCTAGAAATAACTTTCTCTTCCCTCACCGGCATTCAAAATTAGAACCCATCAACCACCATTAACTACAAGGCCCGTATTAGTTAATAATCCTAGATTTCAAGTACTACTACATGTAAACTATTATCTTAAAGAAAAAAGTTCCAAAGGAAATCAATAACTATTATATAGGCATATGACTTTTATGAGAAATTAAACTTAAGAGTTTCCATCTGCAGGACAGAAATTGTTAAGAGGTAATGTGCAGACCTCAGGCACCACATAATATACCCTCCAATAATGAACTACGTTTCTCCCTAAATTCTTCGTATTGGACGCTAACCTCTCCAGCATGAAATCTTCTACTCTGTAACCGCTCTTTAAACACCTCCCTCTAATCTCAATTTCCTTCTGTGTTTATTATTTGGCAGAATTACACTTAAAAAAAATAAACATTTCCACCATGGCATATGTATACCTATGTAACCTGCACATTCTGCACCTGTATCCCAGAACTTAAAAAAATTATGTAATTAAACCAGAGGGAGGGTGAAATAAATAAAACTCAAGTTAATTTACCATGTAGAGCTATACGGAAGTGAGGAAGGTGCTCTTACATAAACCCCCTCTGCCTTCCACACTCATGTGTGTATCTTCTTCCTGATAAGTCTGAGGTTGGGGGAACTGCGCCTTACTTTTCCTCTCCTATATCCCCTAGTGCGACAATATTAGAAACCAAGGAAGGAAAAGCTGGCCGAGTTGTCATATGCCAAGCGGCCAATGCCTCCTGAAATGAAGGTAGGTTCACGTGGTCTCTCTTCAGCAGAAGAGAATGTCTAGAAAATAAAATATTTAAAAAACCATTGAAAATCCAACAAACCACAGCCTTGAGGTGTGCATGGAATGCATGGGATAAGAAAGGAATCAGTAGTAGCATTCAGAAGCAGTCCTGGGTTCATCCTGATGACGTGTCTCCTTCGTTCAGGGAGAGGTGCCTTTCCCGTGTGGGAGGGACGTGGAAGGAGGCATGACTTAGACATTGGTGGTGGTCTCCTTAGCAGCCTGGGTGCTGTTCATCTCCATGATGCCGTCCTTCCCAGATCTATTTGCACCATGTGCCTGCCCTTGAAAGGCCCATGTGATATCCTCAAAAGTCCTGCCATGGGTATCAGGGACTTTGAAGAAGGTAAAGGTCAAGAAGGTGATGAGGAAGCCGATGAAGATAAAAAACATAGGCTCCTAAACAGTAAGCAGCAGTGGGGAAGAGCAGCCCCACTAGGAAGTTGGAGGTACAGTTGGAGCAGCTGACCATTGCCATCGCAGCTGGGCAGGGGCCCTGGCTGAAGAGTTTGGCCACAATAAACCAGGGAATGGGACCTGGTCCAATTTCAAAGGCCACAAAGACCAAGATAGCCCTGATAAAGACAAAGCTCATCCCATTATACTCATCCTTTAATAACAAACAGTCATGAGCATGGAACAAAAAGCCATCCCTCCAAGACCTATCATATGCAGAGTCCTTCTTCCTGCCGTTTCCAGCAGAAATAGGGAAACTACAGTGAAGGTAGTATGAAACACACCTAGATGGTCTCTTGAACACCTGCATCCTTGAAGATTCCTGTTGAGTAATAGAACACAGCATTGATTCCAGAGAGCTGCCGAGAGAGCTGGAGCACAAGTGAAATGATGATTGGGTCTCGGTAGCTGGATACTCTAAAGAGCTCTAGCACGGTTACTTGCTTTTCTTGTGACATCCTTGCACTCTCATCTTGCATCTCCTAGATGTCTTGGTATACATCCTGGATGCTCCACAATGGCTGGAGGATCTGCTTAGCATTCTCCTTTTCTGTTAATGAGCAAAAACCTGGGACTTTCAGGGCAAAATGGAAGGGCTGTACTTTGTAGGATAGCAGGAAGGATGGGAAAGCCCAATAGCACCAGCCATAGCTCTTCAGACCCAAGGATGAATTCCAGACCAAAGATTTGGGCCACCAGAATTCCGACAATGATGCCCAGCTGGTTGAGAGTGCCAAAGGTACCCTGCAGGGCAATAGGTGAGATCTCTTCAATGTACATGGGTACAAAACCTGTGCACAGTCCGCAGAAGAGGCCAATAACCAAGCAGCCCAGGATCAGCATTTCAACCAACTCAGCTACTTTACACAATCCCATAAGGCAGCCACCAGAGACAGTCAACAGGTTGACGATAAGCATTGAATTGCAGCTGTGAAAGTGGTTGACAAAGAGTCAAATGGAAAAGGAGCCAGTCATACCAACAACGGAGAATATGGCCACAGACAAAGACCAGAGGGACATGAGCAGCGTCTCAGAGGGAGGGGTATTTGCCTGGTCCCTCAAAGTGTTATTGATAAATTCCTTTATGATCATCTCAGGAGCATTGATGACCCCAGTGTTATAGCCAAATTGGAAAGAGCCGATTGTAGCAACTGTGATGGCGGAGATCAGAGCTGGGGTGACCTTCTGTGTCCCCATGGCCCTAATTCAATTCTTTTCAAGTCTTCAAGAAAGATCTAGGAGTGTGTCAGAGGTGGGAATTGAACAGTGAGAACACTTGGACACAGGAAGGGGAACACCACACACGGGGGCCTGTTGTGGGATGGGAGGAGCGGGGAGGGATAGCATTAGGAGATATACCTAATGTAAATGACAAGTTAATGGATGCAGCACACCAACGTGGCTCATGTATACATATGTAACAGACCTGCATGTTGTGCACATGTACCCTAGAACTTAAAGTATAATAATAAAATTAAAAAAAAAAAGATCTAGGAGTGGGATTGCAGACACCTTTTTCAGCCAATAAAACCTTCAAATTGTCCTCAGCAACAGATTTTCTCCAGGTCCTCAGGAATGCTCTAAACTCTCACCATTACAGCATCTCTCAAGTTATTTTTGCTTGTTATTTTGTTAATAGCTTAGTTTTTTTTTTGAGACGGAGTCTTGCTCTGTTGCCCAGGCTGGAGTGCAGTGATGTGATCTTGGCTCATTGCAACCTCTGCCTTCCAGGTTCAAGCCATTCTTCTGCCTCAGCCTCCTGAGTAGCTGGGATTATAGGTGCGCATCACCACGGCTGGCTAAAATTTTTGTATTTTTAGTAGAGACCGGGTTTCACCATGTTGGTCAGGCTGGTCTCAAACTCCTGACCTTGCGATCTGGCCGCCTTGACCTCCCAAAGTGCTGGGTTTATAGGCATGAGCCACTGCGCCTGGCCTAGCTTAGTTATTTTTATATAGATAATGAAACTAATATTGTTATGGTCTGGATTATTTTCTGCCTTTCTCTACTTGTCAGTCTAATACCATATATATTTTTTTTCCCTAGAAGTTAGAGCTGCCTCAGCGATGCTTTATTAATAGTTTATATTTTTGTAGAGCCCTTTACCTAAGAATTCAGAATATTCTTTTACATTTTTAAAGGGTTGAGTTTGAAGAGCTAGGGGGAAGAAAAAGGACATGCTACAGAGACCATGTATGGCTCACAAAGCCTGAAATATCGTACTCTCTGGATCTTTACAGAAAAAGTTTGCTAATCCCTGCTTTATAATGACAAAATGAAACCAATCCCAGGGTGTTATATTCTTCTTGATATGGTTAACAAAAGGCCCAAGTACTTTGAGATAGATAGATTTTTATTTACAAACAGAATGCTGCTTGGTAAGTAACAGGTTGAAAGTGAAAAAAAGAAAAATCCATCACATTTTTTATTGGCATAATATAGATAAGTAAACATATATTAAAACTTGACTGGGCGTGGCAGCTCATGCCTGTAATCCCAGCACTTTGAGAGGCTGAGGTGAGGGGATCACTTGAGCCCAAGAGTTTAAGACCAGTGTAGGCAACAAATTGAGACCCCCATCTCTACAGAAATTGGAACAATTAGCTGGGTGTGTGGTGCGTGCTTGTCCCAGCTACACAGGGGGCTGAGGCAGGAGGATCACTTGAGTCCAGGAGGTCAAAGCTGCAGTAAACCGTGGTCTCACCACTGCACTCCAGCCTGGGCAATGGAGCAAGACCCTGTCTCAAAAAAAAACAAAAAAACAAAAAAAACTTGCCAGTTTAAAAAAATTAGTTGAACCAAT